AATTTTCATTAGTTTTTTTTTTCTTAATGATTTTCTCTTTTAAAATTTCGTTAGACTTAAATAGTCATTTGGTATGTAAGTTATTTAATAAACAAAATTTAATTTTAACTTCATCAATGATGTAGGATCATCTTATAAAATGACGGGCCTTCTTGCAAGCTCTCCCTCCACGTTGCATGACCGTTGGTCGTGGATCAAGGGTGCAACTGGCTCAGGATTGCAAGGTTCCAATACAAAGCTTAACTCGAATTTAAGTAAAAAACTGCGATCTCTGTTTCATATTGGGCACTATTCAATTTGACATCGTTATGGAGGACACAACTTAGCTTTATCATGTGTTGCAAGTTACAATCACTAGTTAAGGCTTAGTGAGTAACAACTAGTATTTTATTTAGCTTATTCAAGTTAGTTAAAACAGCGTACTGTCTCTCTCTTTCAAAGTCAGCCCTGAGATTTTAGGGGCCCTATGAAAAAGTGAATTAGAGGTCCTCAAATTGTGAATTTAACTTTCTTTTTTTCCATTTTCAGTTTTGCTTTCTATAAATTCTAATAGCACAAACAAATATAACAAATCAACTGACAAAAAGGTGATTTTTTTTTCTTAATTACTTAAAGGTCCAGCCACTTAGTACTACAATCTAGTGGTATTTATCTTCACTTATAAGTGAGAGGTCTTAGGTTCGATTCTCGCCAAAGACTAGTTTGAACCACATCATTGTTAGCCCATTGTGAGGTTAAGCTCACCCTGTTACACCTCACCCCTAATTTAATTTGTATTTACACTAAGGTTGAGGATATATTGCTTTTAAAATTGTTTTTGGGTCTTAATAGGTGTGCCCAGGGGGCCCACCTTGCTTTTGTGTCCGCGGTTTCTCTCTCCTCTCTATTCTCCCTCTAGTCAACCTCTTCTCTTTCTCTCCCTCTTCTTCTTCTCTCCCTTATCTTGCTCTCGGCTTTCTCTGCAACTTTCTTTTTCTCCCTGAGGACCAACCCACACACACATGTGCCCATACCCCATCAACGACGACAGCATCACCATCACTACCGCGTTAGCTATCTCTTTTTCCCTCTCTCAGTTCGTCTCTGTGGAGCACAGAGGAACTTCGACGAGTCTCTCGTATTGCCAACGACTGGTAAGCCTTGGTAACACTCCAAAAACTCTTCCTTATGTCCTTGTAGTTCGTTCTTTGACCATGTTTATGTGTGGTGGACGTCGAGGCATTGCAGAAACTCCTTGAGAAGGCTTTCCTAGATTCTGGCGAGAAATCCGTCACTTTCGAGCCAATTTCCTGCCAAACCACGATGAGTTGGTCAACGTGTAAGGTATCAATCTCTTCATCTCCCTGAGTACTACAACTTTCCTTTTTGAATCACCCAATTTCGTTAAGTATTGAAGAAGTTATATCCATTTGAATCTTACCCAATTTCTAGCGACCTCCGAGGCTTTCGAAGCATTTTTTGACCAAACCACGGCTAGTTAGATGTCGTGTGAGGTACCATTCTCTTCGTATCATCAAGAGCTATGATTTCTATTTTTGAATCACTCGATTTCGTTAAGTATTGACAAAGTTATGAACGTTTAAAATTTGTCTAAGATTCTGGCCAAAATCCGGCCTTTTCCTTCAATTGGGTCCGGCGACCCATGTTGTGAACTCAAGCCGAGCTTTCAAGCCCAGATCCTTTTGAACCAGGCCCTTTGGGCCGTGCCAAACCTAGGGCCTTAAGCCCGTTATCATTTTAAACCCAACCCAAATCCTTTAATCTATTTATATTTATTTATTTAGTTTTATAAAAACCCAAAAGAACTGGGCCGAGCCTTTAAGCCTAAGCCCCTTTTGTGCAGCCTAGGGCCTTCGGCCTATTGACCCAAAACCCATCAGATATGACATTTGGGCCTTGGAACCCTTTTATTTATTTATGTATTTTATTTGTTTGAAACTAAACCCAACCCACCTAAAAGTCTAAGCCTAAACCCTTTAACCTTTCAAACCCTAAACCCTAACCTGCCAAACCCTTTATGGGAAATATTCCATTAGGGAATATTCCGTCACGGAATATTCTAGAATATTATTTGTGTTGACTTTTACGAAATTTATCATGAACCCTCGTAGCGTAATTTGACGTCCTGAATCCGTTTCCGACATCCGTTTTCCTAATTTCAATTGTTATAATAGAGTTTTATTAATTTGATCATTTATGTGCTTAGGGGTAATTATTTGTGATGATTCTGTGTTCGTTAGTTTGCGTGGCTCTTTGACGGCTAAGTATCTGTAAGTGGACCCCTTCTAAAAATGCATGTTTTAATAGTAGAAATGCGTACATGGAAAAACATGATTTAACAATTATGTTCTATTAAACGCTTTGAGATAACATGCGTAATGAGACTATTTTGAACTATTATTATTGTTCCTATAACTCATGTTCTTATAGAATATCTGATGGATGACGATATGATATTTAGAACATGTTTTGAACACCTTTTTATAGTATAGATGATGGATGACTTTATATTATGAAGTTGTATTTCAATATATATATGTTCAATGGTTTTGTACTTACCTAGTGGTCCCTATTCCACTACGGGACGAAGGGATAGATTCCGTTCCGTCCCGGGCGACGGTTAAGGTGTTAGCATAGGGCCTGAAATGTTTTTCCTCTGGCTATTAGCATAGGGACGGAAAGCCGGCATGAGGCATAAAGTGTATTTTCCTCTGAATGTCTGCTCAGAGACGGGGAGTCGGCATGGGGCTTGAGGGTTATTTGACATTCACTAGTGATTATTATATATACAAGTTATGGTTTGAGACATTGCACAGCATGCTAGGTTTCGTAAAACCTATGTTTATCGTGATATATATGTGTTTTCATAAAACCTGAGGGTTAGTACGTTGATAATTGTTTTAGTATATATATATATATTAACTTGGTCCACTCATGTTTGTTTTGCACCCCCTTCAAAACTTAGAATCGAGGCATACAATCTCGGTGTCCAGGCACTTCCATCGGCATCTTCGAGTCCTCTCGGTGTTGGACCCACTCATTTGTTCATTCAATTTTTATATTAATTCTTTTAGTGTTCTAGATTAGATGTGTGCTCTAAACACGTTCCTTAAATGCATATTCCTTATTCTTTTACATTTATAAGCTTTATCTATCCCTTGTTTTCAGCATTTGCACTCAATAAATGGTTTTCGTCATCTTCGGGTGTCAGCCAGCACGTGCCTATCCTGGTATTCGGAGAATATCGGGATCGGGACGTGTCACACCCCCTTCCCCTTAGCTTAAATAATATTGTTGGTTCAAAGAAAAAAAAAACTTAAAGGTCCAGGGTTAGAAATTTTATTTTAGTTTTGTGGAATTTTTATATTATTTTTATGGAAATTTATGCATTTAATAATAATAAAGTAAAAAATGATGGAGGCAAAGCCTCGAACCCATTCTCAAATGTCATTCTCAAATGGATACAGAGAAACATAAGTACCACTTGTGCTAACAGTTGATTTTATATTTTTTTTACACATATTGGTATATATACGTATATTCATGTAAAATTGAAAAATTGGGGGCCCATCCAATTTGGGGGCCTTGTGCGGTGGCACCACTTGCACACCCACAGGGTCGCCCCTACTCTCTTAAACATCTAAGTTCAAATCCTTCATCTGTTATTTAGATAAATTTAGTGTATACTATCTTATCATGTATTGAAAAAAAAAAACAATTGGATAAATTGTAATTTTTGGTACAACTATAAAAAGTGTTTGAGAAGGAAACCATGTGAACATTGAGAACATTTGACCAAGAGATTTTTATGCTCTTGATGGTGATGGCTTGATAATCACCTTTAACATTTAGCTCTACTTTATACCAGTGTATTTGTGCTACCTCCAGTCAAACCAACTAATTTTATATTTGGGACTTTTTTATTGAAATTATTTACTAGGGAATTTGGGGAAGGCAGGGAAATTACTTCTCAATCCTACAACTCATATCATATGTGTGAGGTTGGCAAAAAAATAAAATAAAGGAATATCACCAATCAAATATGATTTATGAAATAAATAAATAAAAAGTAGGTCAAGCAATGCAAGGAATATTGTGTAAACTCACAAACACTCATGTAATTGTACAGTCTTGCTTTCCTCTCATTTTGATGACCAAATGTGTATTAGCCATAAAATTATATTAGTTTAGATTCAAAGATTTAAAAATTTGACAACTTAATAAAGCAAAACTAACTTAAAATCCATGATTAGAAAACTAGTTTCTTGTTTTGATTTATTAAATTGTCAAATATTTTATATTTTTGATCTAAACTAATTTATTTTTACAGTAAATATACATTCGGTCTTCACACATCTTCAAAATAAAAACTTTAGAAGAACACGACTTTGTAATTGTAATTTTGGAATTTGATCAGGTCAAACTGTGTCTAACTCACAAATACTCATATTTTCTTATAATAATAATAATAACATATAATTTGGAAAAAGGAAAAGAAAATAATTTTAAAAATGAGCTTTTGGTTATTACAAGGCCACATTTTCATGTTCCATGTCCTTGTCTTTCCCATATAAAATATAAAACCGCACAAGAAGCTTATTCGGACACCATTTCACACCTTCACTCATTTTTAGACACATCAGTTTTGAAATTTAGTTTTGGAACGCCACCCTTTTTTACATATTAGGGCATCCACGATGCTCTACTACCTTTTATTTTCTAGAGATCGAGAGAAAAAAAAAAAACACAATTATGATCGGAACTCTACTGTAACAGTGTACCGTGAATCTGTGATCCACATTTAGGTTTAAGTTGCTCCACTCAACTAGAAGTCTAGAACGCACTACCACCATCAACAAAATATGTTATTTAATTTTCTGAGGGAAAAAACATAAATGAAATGAAATTTTAAATAATTATAATTTGTTAAGAGAAAAAGAAGAAAGAAAAGTACTTAAGGCAAGGCAGGGTGAGGGCTTCAGCTCTATTTATAGCCCTCAAAGCATCCAAATCTCTCATTACCAAAAAAAACAAAAATCTTTTTGAGCTTGTTTCTGATAAGAGAAGGGAGAAGAAGGGAAAATGTGTGTGCCTCTGTCGCTTTGTTTTCACTGAACAACACCACGACGACGATGACGACGACGACGACGACGATCTGCTCCCTAAACCGATCATCGCCCTTCTGAATCCGTTTCGGCCTCTCATCCTCCTCCTGCTTTCTCCGTTTTCTGGAGCCGATCGGTGAGCAATCTTCATTTTTTGTGTGCTTTTTATTTTGCCTTTTCATTTCTTCAACTGTTTCGATGATCGCTTTGTATTCAAAGTTTCCTGCTTTGTTTCGATGATCGGAGTGCTGATTGCTCACAAATCGATCTGATTCGGATGTTTATTCGTTTTGTTCATTTGATTCATTCGTTGAATGTGTAGCTGAATATGTATTTTTGGTCAGAGTCATCGTTGTCGGAATGCTGAGTTTGGTGAAGTTTCGTGCTTTAGGTTGAAGCTAATGACTGGTTAGGAATTGACCAAAGAAAAATGACCGATTAGGATAAAGAAACAAAAGATATCACAGAACTGGAAAATCGGAACGGATTCATTTTATTAACATTATTTGGGCATTTGCCTTTCATTTGTTGCTTGGCTTTTGGAACTTAGATCTTTCAAGCGATATAAACATGCCCATTAATAGTATATTTGCTGTTTCAGTACCCTACTTTTCCTCTATAGGAACCAACTGAGGCAAGCTTCACAGGATTTTTTTTCTTATTGTGTTTGTTTTGATTTTCCTGATCGATCAATGTTGTTGCGATCTTCTTCTTGTTCTTATTATATTATTGTATGATACAGCAAAATTATATGGTCTGGATGTGCCTGCAATGGGGTTTAAAATTCCATTCATGGTATTGTTTCAGTTTTATGCTTGTAACAATAAATTGTGTTTTGTTTAAGAATTTTAGTGATTTCTTTCCTGTTGTTTATGTTCCAGAGTATCCTGAAGGGATTATTGGGTGGAATGTGATTTGCATGGGCTGAGGATGCCAGAGTTGCGAAGCGGAGTGCGCAGATCAAAACGGCTTGATGATCTTCAGCCTTCCTCACAACCACCAATTGGTCAGGCCGAAAATTGTGTACTACCTGCCCAGAATAAACCTCGGAGAAGAGCAGGTGGTGGTAGGGGAAGAGGTGGTAATGCTGTAGCAAAAGGTCCTTCACCGGCAATACCCACTAGGCAGACTGCAGCTGGTAGAGGTCGGGGCGTTAGGTTGATAGATTTAGACCCTGAACCTTGCGAGGTCCGTCCTGAAGCTGCTGCTTTAGGAGCTGCTGAACCCATTTACAATCGTGCGGACGTTGTAGCAGATAAAGATATTGCGATGGAGGGTGGTGGAAGTGCGGACAAAATAGTGGGAGGTGAAGAAGAAGCAGGCGGGACTCCTGTTCCTGATAGGGTATATAGCCTGTACTTAATACTTTTGATTGGGTCTGTTTTTGTCTCTTTAGAGTTATAAACACACATTATTAATTCCATTGATGTGGGACTACTAATTGTAGAACCAGCTTTTATGACTAAATACTCTGGTGATTATACTCTATTTGGCTGATTATCAGCGTTACAAAAAAACAGTTCTATGTTTCCAAATCTAATTGTTCCAGTGACGTGGATGGCCAAATAAGAATATAACCGTTCTCTTTGAAAGGAATGGTACCTTTAATAAATGTCTTGTTGCGTATACAGAAATTAAGAGTTTCCGTTGCTTGCTGCAGGTACAAGTTGGTAACTCTCCTGTGTACAAGGTAGAAAGGAAGTTGGGTAAGGGTGGTTTTGGGCAAGTTTATGTTGGCAGAAGGGTTAGTGGTGGCACTGATAGGACAGGACCTGACGCTATTGAGGTACCTAATCTGATTAATTGAACTTCTATTTTCTTTTTGGTTACAACTTTTATTTTCAGAATCACAAATATATGATCTTTTTTTATTCTTTTTACAGGTTGCTTTGAAGTTTGAACACCGAAATAGTAAAGGTTGCAATTACGGCCCTCCTTATGAGTGGCAAGTTTACAAGTGAGTTTTGTATTCCTTGTTTTTTTTTCCCCTAGTATTTTACTACAAGATTACATATAACTATCTTTAAGTTTATCTGCATTACTCTTGAAATGTTTCGAATATTTCTTCTGATTCTTGTGGTTATTTTCATCTCTTAATAGTAATCTAAATGGATGTTATGGAATTCCTTGGGTTCATTACAAGGGTCGCCAGGGAGACTTTTACATTCTGGTAAGATTTGATTTGGAGTTCCTTACTATCTGATTGGAGTCCGTACTCATTTACATTGTCTGATGGGTCTATTATATTTCAGGTCATGGACATTCTTGGACCCAGTCTTTGGGATGTTTGGAATTCTCTTGGGCAATCGTAGGATTCACTCTCTCTCTCTCTCTCTCTCTCTCTCTCACTCTCTCTCACATGCACACAATTGACACCCTGCAAAACCTATATGAATATATGCCCCAACGTCTCTTGTGTACATCAAAGTTTATGCAGCCCTATAATTCATTATTATGTCTGCAACAGGATGTCTCCAAATATGGTGGCATGCATTGCCGTAGAGGCAATATCAATTCTTGAAAAGCTTCACTTAAAAGGGTAAGGTTTATTGGAAACTTTAACTTATAATCTTACGTGTATGCAACTTTTCAACCCTCCCCAGGCTTTGCTACCAGTTCTTATCATGGATTTTTCATTTCAAACCAGGTTTGTGCATGGCGATGTAAAACCAGAGAATTTTTTACTTGGTCAACCTGCTACACCTGATGAGAAGAAGCTATATCTTATTGATCTTGGATTGGGTATGCCGCTCTTGTGCTTCCTTATCTCAACTTCACGCAAACTATTTGTGTACTTTGCATGGTCATATATGATTAGCCAACCCCACTTAGTGGGAAAAGGCTTTGTTGTTGTTGTTGCATGGTCATATATGATGTGTTTCCTATTTATTGTAAGTCCTATTTCCAAATTTAGTGTTTAATACGTATGTTATATAAATATTCTAATTTTGTTTTCAGCGTCTAAATGGAAGGAAGCATCTGGTCAACATGTTGAATATGATCAGAGGCCTGACATATTCAGGTTTGTAATGTTAGAACAATGGTCTTACATGTGCTCAGTCATCTTCTGGATGGCCTTTAAATATTGAAATTTCTACTTTTGGCAGAGGAACAATAAGGTATGCAAGTGTACATGCACATTTAGGTCGGACTGGAAGTCGAAGGGATGATCTTGAGTCATTGGCATACACATTAATATTTCTCATAAAAGGAAGGTTACCCTGGCAGGGTTATCAGGTGAGTCATTGGCATACACATTAATATTTAAATGCGTTTTGCTCTCTGTATTCTGGTCTCATATAAAGCTGACAACCTATATTCTTGTTTTTTCTTGAAATTACAGGGGGATAACAAGAGTTTTCTTGTTTGTAAGAAAAAGATGGCCACCTCTCCAGAGTTGATGTGCTGCTTCTGCCCTCCCCCATTCAAACAGTTTCTTGAAGCTATTACAATTATGAAGTTTGATGAAGAACCAAATTATGCAAAGTTGATATCCTTCTTTGAAAGCTTGATCGAGCCATGCCTGCCACTAAGACCAATTAGAATTGATGGAGCTCTTAAGGTGCTTTTGGTTACTTTTCCAACTTTGTACTTTAATCTTTTTTTGGATATTCTTCGAACTTTCTATTTATTCAACGTTCTGCATAAATAGGTAGGACAAAAACGGGGAAGAATGTCTATAAATTTGGAAGAAGATGAACAGCCAAAGAAGAAAGTTCGACTGGGTAGTCCTGCTACCCAGTGGATTTCAGTGTACAATGCGCGTCGTCCAATGAAGCAAAGGTGAATTATACATTTGTTCAGTCTGATTTCCCCTAATATGTGATTGTGCAGTGGAATTCTCCTACATTATTTTTTTTATAATTCTCATTTTCATATGAACATGCATTATTTCCATATTGTAACATTGATAAATGGTACCAGCAGCAGTTGAAGTATTTTTAATGTTTGATTTTCGTTGAGAAGGTTGTTATACAGTTTATCAGTCCCAAACGGGGTATGAATTTTGGATTAGTTTTCATTATCTTGACTGCTAGTTGTGCATAAGCAAATTAGCTAACTAATGGAGACTGGCAGTGATATTCCTTTTTTGTTTCCCTGGCTCAAGTGGTGGTGGTCTGTTACTAGAAATATCTTAAATATCAGTTTAACTGACCTTTTTCTGAAATTTGATCTGAATCATAATGCTGCCTACCTAATTGGAAAACATTATTGCTCTTAAATAAATTATTCTTTATTGGTTTCTAGTTATGGTTTAAATTTTAATCATGTATAAAGTGAATATAAAATACGAGATTTCAATTAATGAAAGCATGCGTAAATTACTATTTTCATCTTTTACCAAATGTTGATATCCTCTCATACTTGTTTATTTATTTGGTATCTTTTGTTTCTGTTTGTCATGGTTCTTAAAAACCGGTTTCCTATGTCTTCTGACCTGTATGACTTTAATCAATTTTGTGGATAAGCTGCACTTGTTTTTGGTTAGAGGGAAACAGTAGCTTTTATGCCCTTGTATACTGTCACAATTTGTATCAGGTCCCTGTATTTTAGGTTTCAACAAAGACAAATACGGGGAAAAATGGAAAAAGATAAGATACGTGTATGTTGAGTGTAGTTCCATAAAATGTAAATGATACATGGACTTCTCTTAAACTACATTAAATTGTTTTGATTTTGGTTTCTTGAGATGCATGATAATGATGATTCTGATGTGTCTGTATATAAGAATTACTTAGTTGTCTACATTGCAATTGTTGTGTACATTGTGTAATTGCTCAATGCCCATTTGTTGTGTACATTGTAATTGTTTTCTTGCATGGTATTTTTCACTCTTTGTAAGGAAACCAAGAGGCATGGCTTGGACTTGAACCTAGGATGGCCTGGGCTTGAACCTAGAATGAAGTGGTGTGTCACCAGGGAGGTGCCCCACATAAAATTTTCTTGCATAATATTAAGTAAGCCTCTTACTGGACATGTAGGTATCACTACAATGTGGCGGACTCAAGGCTGCATCAGCATGTCGATAAGGGTAATGAAGATGGCTTGTATATCAGCTGTGTAGCGTCTTCATCAAGTCTATGGGCCTTAATCATGGATGCAGGGACAAGTTTCACTGCCCAGGTTTATGAGCTGTCAACTGTCTTCCTGCATAAGGTTAGCATATGAAATAAGTATATTCGATCATCTTGTATTAGTAATGTATGCACTTCTTGAAGTATTTCTTATCTTTGTTGTTTTGTTTGGTTCTGGACAGGATTGGATCATGGAACAGTGGGAAAACAACTTCTATATTAGTTCAATAGCTGGTGCGGCTAATGGGAGTTCCTTGGTTGTTATGTCCAAAGGTTTGCATTTATTTATACCATTGAAATTAATATTTAAATGATTATGAGATTGATTTTTTTATTAATATTTAAATTATTATGAGATTGATTTTTTGTATGGAAATGTGTTGTGTGCTTCTATTATACACGTTTGTGGCACTGGTTAATCGTGAAATATGTGATGTTTCTTATTTTTTCCAAATCCCTAATCTCTGTTTCTCTGATGTTTTCCTCTACTGGTTTTTGGATCCATTGTGGTTTGTGGATCGGAATGCCTTGATTAGTCAAAGGTTCTATATCTCTAGAATTGCCATTGGATCCATTATTGTAATGTCTGAACCTTAGTTTTAAATTGTTTGAAAGAAAACACATTGAATGAAACATAGAATAAGTGCTGTACTTGATTTTAATGAACATTGATATGCGTTTTGAAATCCTCATCCTCCTGGTTGGGGCAAGCTGGCTAGCTACCTACACGTGACAAGTTATATTTATGTTCATCCCCACCTTTATAGTTGTTTATAACCTGCTTATTTCGGCAATGCAAGTGTCTTATGAGAACCCGTGAACAGAGTTGCATCTGAAGCTCGATGATTTTTTTTTTTTTTTTTTTTTTGCTATAGAACTTCAAAAAAAAAAAAAAAACATTAGGAGTCTTTTGCATCCGTGGCCCAATACTGGTGTTGAAAATTTCAATATTAATCTTTTTAAATTTAAGTTGGCATAGTAATGAGCACATGGGAATGTATGTTTTTGCGTGTCACGCTTGTGTATGGATTTTGATCATCTGCATGTTATGCTGGTAAATGAAACATTCAAATGGGAGACTGTTATATTTTTATGTAATACGGACCATGTCCTAAGCACTGATTTATGCTGTATGGTGTTGTATATAGGTACTCCATACACCCAGCAGTCGTACAAGGTAAGCGAATCTTTTCCCTTCAAGTGGATAAATAAGAAGTGGAAAGAAGGTTTCCATGTAACATCCATGACAACCGCTGGCAATCGCTGGGGTGTTGTTATGTCCAGGAATGCTGGATTTTCGGACCAGGTATATTATTACTCAGAGTCAACTCTGTAGAATTCTTGAATTTCTAAATTATGTTCTTCCTTTTTTTGATGATTGCTCATTTGCCCCCTTTTGCATTTGATTTGAAAATACAAGGTTGTGGAGCTTGATTTTGTATACCCAAGTGAAGGCATCCACAGGCGATGGGAAAGTGGCTACAGAATAACATCCATGGCTGCCACCGCTGATCAAGCAGCCTTCATTTTGAGCATACCAAAACGCAAGTTGATGGATGAAACCCAAGAAACTCTGCGTACCTCCGCCTTCCCAAGCAGCCATGTAAAGGTAAGAAACTGAGTGTCTCGTGTTAGTTTTAGTTTTCTGTTATTCTTTATAATCTGGGGCTCAAATGTCTCGGCTTGCCACACCAGAGATGAGAGGTATTACTATTGAGGCATATACATGACAATTTTCACTGACGCTGGATTCTGCGTAACTTGGGATGTTTGTTTGGTTTGTTTATGCAGGAAAAATGGTCAAAAAATCTCTATATTGCATCGATTTGTTACGGACGGACCGTTTGCTAATTTGTTGAGTGTATATGTGGTTTATACCTGAAAAATGCAAGTGAAGCTTTTGAGAGCTTTTTACAAGTTGGTCTTTGAGTAGTTGGATAATCCTTCCATTCCCTGCAAGTAGGAGCGAAATGATGGAATTATATTTGGAAAACATGTGGCCGCAACCAACAAGCATGATGTTATGTTTGTATTGCTTAATCTGTTTTGTGTTGGATTCAAACTCGAAAGGTGGTAAATAGAAACATAACAAACTTGTTTAGGACTTGCCTGCAAACCAATTTATGGATACAATCTGGTTGGCAATTCCTATGAATTTTAAGTACCTGATAGTTTTTAATTAATCTTAAGAAAAGAGGTTAAGTAATCAGATTTGATGTTCCAAATTTAATCATTCAAGTTCAACCCAAACAGAGCAATTCCTTCCACAACACATCAAACAGTGTTCGAATCCGTCCAAGACAAACTTATAGGTAGACCCAGCATATACTGATATGATAACTTGGTACAAGCAATTTAGTATTGTTGCTTAAATTGATTTACAGTCTGATTCCAAAAGATTTTAATAAATAATTTAAACCGGAATTCAATTCTGACTCCTCTTCGTTGGAACTCCTTATCAATTCATTTTCTTCCAATTTGATTACGGATTAGTAAACGAGTCATTAGAATTATTAAATTCTTTTTAAGATGTTAATATTGGCATTGCAAAAAACAAATTTCGACACTATTCTAAATATAGATAGTTTGAAGTGCACATAAGAATTTGAGTCCCAATGATAACTCTTTTCCTTTCGGCTGCCAACAAAGTTAAAAAAAAAATTTATTTGTTAATTTCAGGCCCCAAACAAAACCACCTAAATCAAACCTTGTAAATTGAAAAATGCTAGGCATATCACATCTTGTGTCTCATTTAATGTGGCAAGTGACGTGTACATGTCACGTCATATAATGAATTTATATTATTGGATGTTGATTGTATGCATCACTTGCCACATGAGATGGTAAACCAATGTGGTATAAAGATGTGGGTTCCCTAGTATTTACTTCATAAATTTCACCGATTAGTTCTATTTTCTCTCATCTTATAGCTAAAAGACAAATAAAATATCAATGTAAGATGGTCGGGAAAATAGAACAAGTGGTGGGTGAGTATAACATTACTCTACAATTATTTCGGCAGTATGAACCAAACCGAATCATTATATTGTAATTAGTTTAATTATAATTTTGGGTAAAAACCGATATAATCCGACTAAATTTACAGGCCTTGGATATTGAGGACTCAATACAAAACTGGGCTGTGAATTTGACAAAAGGCTTGAAAATGGACCACGATATTATCCGACCCAAAGTCCAAAATAATTCATCACGGGTTGCCAGACCAGACCAGACCAGAGTCCAGACACACTGGTGTGGTGTAGCAGCTTCACAATCGCACCAGAAGAGCCGAGTGTTGTCTCCGTCTTCGTCATCTCTCTCCAGCAAAACCAAAACCCAAGAATTCCAGCGGCATCGCATTCTCAATCTACAGGTACATACATGAGATGAAACGATTCCTTTCCTTTGATGCTTACACTGATTCAATTTCCTTACTTGTTTCTCGTTGAATTTTCTTTCTTTGTATGAGTTCCCAAATTAGCGAACAAACTGTAGCCCTTAGATTGTATATGTTCCAATCAACAAGGAGAACCCAAAATTTTAGTCTTGAATTTTGGGCGTCGACTAGGTTCACTTTGATTAGTAAACTCAGATGGTTGTCCGATCCAACTCAGCCCCATTTTTGTTTGGACCAGAGGTGGTTCTGTGATTTTGGGGTTAGGAAGATAAAATAATTTTGCTATTTGTTAATTTTGGTAGAGAAATTAAAACGGGGTTTTGATTTTATTTTGACAAGTGAAAATATGGAGCCCGAGGTGGTTGATGCAGAGCTAGTGTTGCCAACCCACTTGAGCTTCAAGCGCATTCAGATGTACGAGAAGTATCCAAAAGGCCAATCAAGAGGGAGACATTGGAAACATCTCAAGCAGATCATTCAGGCTGAGAATTATCAGAATTACCCACCCGATGAACCAAATTGTAAGTTATACTGATATAATTAGTTTCAAGCTTCTACCTTTACCCCCTTGCGCAAATTGTTATTCAAACTGAAAATCTCTTTGCCATTGAAGAACTAAGTATGTTTTTTACTATGACCGTAATAGCGCTTAAGAAATTACTTAGTTTGTAACTTTGTATGGATAAATGTATGTATTTTAGCTTTGTATTTTAAGCATATTACTGTCAAGTGTTGTTCTCATTTTGTTTTTCTTAATGTCCCATGCTTGCAGATGTTAATATAGAATCCCCACCCTCTATGCATCCAAGCAAGAAAATTTGTGATATAACAGGATATGAGGTATGTAAAACTTATTCCAAATTTTGAAATTTTGATTTAACAGTACCAAGGTTGGATTTTTTTTTTTTGTATATATATCATAAATTTCAGATACTCATACGAGTTTCGTTCGTTGATTCAGTGTCCTAGAAACCTGTCCTTTCATTCACTATAGCTACATAGTTGCTAGTTAATTACTTTCCAGACTTTCATTCTGTTAAAAAAAAAACCTCCATGCTACCCAATCTGTTTATTTAAATATTTGAGAGTGAATTTCATGACCAAGGCAGGCCAAACTGTTGGACTTTCCTGTTATGCAGTGATGTATTTTAGAAATGTGTAGGAAGAAGAAGTTTAGAGAGAAAGTGAAGAGGCAGAGAGAGTTCTCAAAATATCTCAGTGAGAGCCAAAAATGCTCTACTGCATATATTCATTCTTTCCTCAACATTTACATGACACTAGGGAGAGAGAAGCTACGTGAGCCTATGAGCTCATCATACCATTCATTACAAGACCCTATGAGATCTTGACACATGCTTACATCTGAGCCTAGCACAATATTATCTAATCTCAGCCCTTGATCACAAACTGATTTATTTACACTTGCTAAGGTAAGGAAAATACAGTTTAGACCTTAATCAACTAACACTCCCTTCTAAGGTCTTAACTGAGATTACCCCAAGCTTATCCCTCAGAGCACAGAATCTGTCTTTAGCAAGTGCTTTGGTGAAAATGTCAGCTAGTTGCTCCTCACTTTTGCAGTATTGCAGGTCAATTGTTCCTTCCTGAATTGCATCTCTGATGAAATGAAACTTCCTCTTGATATGTTTAGACCTCTGATGGAATACCGGATTCTTTGACATTGCAATTGCTGATGTGTTATCACACATCAAAGGAGTTGGTTCGATCAATTCTTCACCAAAATCATGCAGCACAAATCTCAGCCATGTAGCTTGAGTGGTGGCTTCTGAGGCACTCATATACTCGGCTTCAGCAGTTGAGAGTGCAACACTCTGTTGCTTTACAGAAGCCCAAGAAAATGCACCACTGCCAAAGCTGAAAGCATACCCTGATGTGGACTTCATGTCATCTTCATCTCCACTCCAATCACTGTCACAAAAATCCTATGAGTAGAGCTGCATTTCCCTTTTCATACTTAATTCCATAGTCAACAGTTCCTTGCACATATCTGAGTATCCTCCTTGCAGTGCCAAGATGTTTAATGGAAGGACAGTGCATGTACCTGGCAAGTACACATGCTGAGTACAAGATATCAGGCCTTGTTGCAGTTAAGTATAGAAGGCTGCCGACAATTTTCCTATACAATTCTTCATCTGCAGCTTCACTCCCATCACCTTTCCTTAGTTTATCCGTGGGAGGTAAGGGTATTGAGACAGATTTGCAGCTCTTCAAACCAAACTTGTCCAGTAAACTCAGTGCATACTTTTTCTGGTGAATAAAGATACTCCCTTCTTGTTGGATTACTCCAATTCCAAGAAAATGATGCAACAAGCCTAAGTCGGACATCTCATACTTGTTCATCATATCACATTTGAAATCTTCAATCATTTCTAAACAGCTTCCAGTATAAACTATGTCATCCACATATATAGAGACAATCAGAGTTCCCTGTCCATCCACATGTTTCACATATAAGGTGGCCTCACTTGGACTCTTTTTAAATCCACTCTGCAGCAAATGAGTATCAATATTGCTGTACCAAGCTCTGGGAGCTTGTTTTAGACCGTATAAGGCATTTTTTAACTTATATACTTTGTGTTCTTCTCCCTTGACAATATACCCATCTGGCTGATCTGTATACACTTCCTCTTCAAGGATCCCATTCAGGAAAGCAGACTTTACAGGTACAGTTTCCACCCTTTCTGTGCTGCCAAAGCAATGAGTGTTCTTATAGTGTCCAATCTAGCCACAGGTGCAAACGTCTCATTAAAATCAATTCCGGGCTTTTGAGTGTACCCTTTGGCAACTAATCTTGCCTTGTGTTTTGGTACAGTGCCATCCAAATTCAATTTGGTTTTGAAGATCCATTTTACCCAAACAATTGGTTTGTCACTTGGCCTATCAACCAATCTCCAAGTGTCATTCTTCTCAATCATAGTAATCTCCTCATCCATTGCTTTCTTCCAAGCTTCATCTTGAGAAGCTTCAATGTAGTTCTCAGGTTCAATGACACTGAGTCTACACTGAGCAAACACTTCATTCAGATCTCTCCACTTCTTTGGTGTGTTGTCATAAGTTTCTGTGAGTGGAATTTCACTCTCCATATTCACAGTGTTAGGAGCATCATTGTGTACACTGGAAACATACTCACTTCTTGTATTTGGGCAAGATAAATCAGAGGAACTAATATTAGTTTCTTCACACACACCATTTTCTATCTCAGTTATGCTTATACCCTCATTAGCTTCTGAGAAAGGTACTGAGAAATGCACAGTTTCCATATTCTCCCAGTTAAGAGCAGCATCTTCATCAAAAATAACTCCTTGAGACAATGATCTTCTTGTGTTTCAAATCATACACCCTGTAACCCTTTTCTCTTGTCCCATATCCAACAAATACACCTTTCTGTCCAGTTTCATCCAGTTTCTGTCTTAACTGGGTTGGCACATGAGTGTAGCAAACAGAACCAAAGATTCTCAAGTGTTTTACCCCTGGTTTTCTACCACAGAATTCTTCACAAGGAGTCTTGTTCTCTAGTGCTTTGGTAGGACACCTGTTAAGCAAGTAGACAGCAGTGTGAACTGCTTCACCCCAGAACTTGAGTGGTAATTTTTTTTCATAGAGCATGGTTCTTGCCATCTCTACTATGGTACGATTCTTCCTCTCAGCAATACCATTTTGCTGGGGAGAATAAGCAGCAGTGAGTTGCTTTTCAATACCAACATCTTCACAAAATTTTTCAAATTCTAGAGATGTGTACTCTCCTCCTCTGTCACTTCTGAGTTTCTTCAGTTTGTAACCAGTTTGTAATTCAGTCATGGCCTTGAACATTTAAAAATTCTGAATACCTCAGATTTGCACTTCAGAAAATAGACCCAACACATTCTGGACTTGTCATCTATGAAGGTAAGAAAATACCTGCTACCTCCAAGTGTCTCACTCATGGGTCCACACACATCTGTGTGTACAAGTTCTAAAGGCAACTTTGCTCTCCATTTCTGTTCTTTGCTAAAAGCCTCTCTGTGAGCCTTTCCAGTAGCACACCCTTCACACACCTGATTGTACTCCTTTAGATATGGCAGACCATACACCATACTCCTTTCTTGTAGCATTCTCAGGCTGTCATAGTTTAGGTGCCCAAATCTTCTGTGCCATTTCCATGTGTTACCTTCAGTGGTAGCAATATTTGCTACAATATGATCCACATGATTAAACATTAGTGGAAAGCATCTATTTCCCTTCATTTTCACAGTGACTATATGATCTTGCAGTTCACGATCTCTAAATATGCAGGCCATGAAATCACCAAACACCAACCAATAGCCATGTTCAACCATTTGTCCTACACTGAGAAGATTTTCATCCAAACCAGGTACAATCATTACTTCTGGTATGAACCGAGTGCCTCTTTTGGTCTCCACAATCAGTGTGCCTTTGCCAACTGAGTCAACCAATTCCCCTGTGCCCATTTTCACCTTACACCTTATACTTCTGTCAATGTTGATCAGCAATGATTCAGTACTGGTCATGTGGTTACTGCAACCACTGTCCAGATACCAAACTCCACTATTTTCTTGCACAGAAGCCTTATGACAGGCATAGAACATCATCGCATTATCTTGAACATGATTCAAATAATTTGCAGTATGATTTTTCTTTGGCTGGTGACAATCTCTCACTACATGTCCAAATCTGTTGCAGTTATGACACTTAGGTTTTCCTTTGAACCAACACTCTCCATGATGAGCCTTATCACAGATCTTGCACTTTTGTTTAACACCCTCAGTGATCTCACCCTGTCTCTCAGGCTGTCGAGTGTTGTTTTCCCACTTCCTAGACATAGACTTCCAATTCTTCTTTCCCTTACTGTGATTTCCCTGTGTGAGTGGCCTATTCTGTGCTTTAGGTACAAGACCCATAGTGGAGAAAGCATGCTCTGTGCTTGTAATTTCATCAACATGTCTACTCAATCTAAGCTCATAACTCTTAAGAGATCCTACCACTTCTTGCACAGTCACAGTATTCAAATCAGAAGTTCTTTCAATCACAACACAGATTGGATCATATTTACTGGACAAACTAATCAAAACCTTTTGCACTTCTCTTTGATGAGTGAGGTTCTCACCATAAGATTTCATTTGATTAATTAATTCAAATAGTCTAGTAAGATAGACAGATAGAGATTCATTCTCCTTCATTCTCATATACTCAAATTCACGACGTAAACTTTGAAGTTTAACAGATCTTGCCTGTTCATCGCCGCGAAACTCCTCCTAGAGTAGATCCCAGGCACCCTTTGAGGTCTCTTGATTCACAATCCGAGGGAAGATCTCCTTCGAGACAGCACTCTGAATAATGCCCAGTGCCTTAGCATCTTTCATGAGCAGATCTTCCATGTGTGCGTCCAACTCGTCATCATCTCCTTCATCATCATCCGATGAGGATGAATCTTCCTCGTCTTTCTCCTTCTTTGTTTTCTTCTTTTCTCCTTTCTTCTTCGATTCTGGAATAGCAATCCCTTTGTCAACCAATTTCCATATCCCATACGATTTGAAAATGGTGACCATTCTCACTTTCCAGAACTCGAACTCCGTTCCATCAAAAACGGGAGCTCGTAAATCACCGCTTCCAGATCCAGCCATTTAGCTTGAATCGGAATGAAATTGAGAGATTTCACGTTGGATTCTCTCACACAATTTCACAGAATTCAACGCCCAGTCCGAAATCGAACCTAGGCTCTGGATACCATGTTGGACTTTCCTGTTATGCAGTGATGTATTTTAGAAATGTGTAGGAAGAAGAAGTTTAGAGAGAAAGTGAAGAGGCAGAGAGAGTTCTCAAAATATCTCAGTGAGAGCCAAAAATGCTACTGCATATATTCATTCTTTCCTCAACATTTACATGACACTAGGGAGAGAGAAGCTACGTGAGCCTATGAGCTCATCATACCATTCATTACAAGACCCTATGAGATCTTGACACATGCTTACATCTGAGCCTAGCACAATATTATCTAATCTCAGCCCTTGATCACAAACTGATTTATTTACACTTGCTAAGGTAAGGAAAATACAGTTTAGACCTTAATCAACTAACACAAACTTGTTCAGGTTGCCATCTGGTCTGCCGTCAGGCATCAATTAAATGTAAAATTAATGGCCCAAGTTTGATGAAAATATCTTTGGACTGCTAAACTTATAATAGTTGATCAAACTTGGTTGATTTGAGATCCAGCCAGACATTCATATATGTTGCCTGTTATTTTTCCTTGTTGTATAGGGTTGATATGATCAAAGGTTCTGAAGAGATATTCTCTGTGAGACGCATTCCTATTGATGTTAAGATAAACTGATTAGTAAATGTTTAAAGCTTTCCTATTCATTCTTTACCACTTTCGTCATCTTCACAGTGGAGATTGATGCTTTTTTCCATCATGCAGGCACCTTATTATGATCCAAGGACCAACCTCCGCTATGCCAATGCTGATATCTTCAAGCTCATAAGATCACTTCCAAATGAATATGTCCAAAGATATCTGGCTCTTAGAAATGCTGCTGTGGTTTTGAAGTGAACAACACTTTCCAGCTTCCAAAGGCAGGATTCACTTTTTCTCCACTTCTATTATATAGAAAGCATATATATACAGATGATGGCACTTGGGCATAAAAATGCAAATTAATTCATTTTCATGGTCTTAATTTCAGGAAGAGGGGCATGGGGAGATTATAGAGTAGTGTTTTGGGATATTTCTTGCGTTGTCATTTCAATATTTCCAGTTTCTTAAAAATCAATTTCTTGAGAGAGAGAGAGAGAGAGGTTTGAACGTTGTTGTTAACTAACGGAACTTGAGATTGGTTGGGTGTAAAAAGAGATGGGAGAATTAATTGGTTTGAGTTCACCATGAGTGAGGATATTTTGGACATAAATATTGGGTCTAGAAACAAAAACTAAATTCACCAAGAAAACATAGGGATGCAGAGAAAATATTGGTGGTAAAGAAACAAAATTGCTCATTAACTTACTAGTGACTAGTGAGCGCTTAGACACTTGTTTAAAGATTGAAGTGACTGATGAGAGGGATGGTCTTAAGCCTTCCTCAGTCCATTTTTACTCCCTGTAAGAACAGGGGTGGAATAATAAGAAGAGTTATCCATTTATCTCTAGTATTATTATCTAATATTTACTAGGATACCCGTGTAAAATGATAGATGTAGTAGATTCTCATCGCTGTTCGTTTAGATTTCATCCAGTGTGCGATAGTCTTTGTGGAACCACATAAGTTGTTGCATACTACTTTAATATCTACATGAAGTCAAATTAGTGATGAATGTTCAAAATGTGTTTTGGGTTTTGCAATAACCTTGGTTAGGAACTTAGGAACTTGAAAATGTCATTTAACATGATGCAAATGAATCATGGTTTACTTGTTGGAAACTTGTTATGGAACTGGGGTTATCTTGGTTAGTTGCACTATCTGTGGCTGATTGCTGATGTGGAGGGCTGATGTTAGTTTGATGTGGTTAGCATCTTGCTCCTATGTCACACACTTTTGATTTTGTTTGTGACTGTTTTGCAAGCAAGTGATACGTTGTTGCCAGTATTTTGCACCACCTCATCTTGAGGGCATTGATGTGGGCAAATCTTTGAAATCTGATGTTGCTTTTTTGGCTACTGGCTTCTATACTCAAGTCGAGCATCATCAATTCTTGCTATTTGGTTTTTCTTTTTTAATTGCTGCATTGTCTTTGCAAGATTAGTTTCTCTCAAGCTGACATTACAAGTTAAAACACAACTTCAGATCAGAAACATTGCACCCGCAGTATATCGTTTTTTACGTTTTCATGGTTCTTTGTTGTAGGTGGCTGAAGCACCCAACTATATCCAAAGAACCACCTCAACATAAGAAGATCAAGTACTGGGTGTCATGGAATTCTATCATCTTCCAAGTACTGGGTATCATGGAATTCTATCATCTTCTAAGCCGTGTAGATTTCCTTTGTCGTATTAATTACTAAGAACAAGGCCCTTTCTATTCCCTCCCTACTTGTTTCTAATATTCCGTTTTATTTGGTACACATTGACCATGTATCCGCAATATACTGATTGAATTAATGATGAGGTAGTCCAAGGTTTCAATAGTTACTACATTTTGTTTTGTACAGATGGTGGCCTCAACCGGCCTAAGAGTAGGAAATACTGGTAGAAAATTTCAAATAGGACTCTTGTTTTAGTTTTGAAGATTCTTTTGGAAGAACAACATGTAACTTGGCCGTTGTCTCGGCATGCTAGAAATTTAGTTTGGTAGGGTTTCTGTATAGCCGACTTCACTTAGTGGGAAAAGGCTTTGTTGTTGTTGTTGTTGTAGGGTTTCTGTAAAGCTATGCGTGTGTAATGTGTGAGCAAAAACAGCCGCAAATATGTACAAGAAAGAGATACGAGGCATTATTTTAAATTGTAATATATGAGTTTACACAAGTCACTCAAGGTAGTTCAGCCAGTGGCAAGTAGCAAACAAATTAACTACTTGCTATGTTGCCAATTGGGAGGCAACAGCAATGGCAGGTGAAGTTATTTAAATGCGACGTACGTACGGTATCAAAATACCAAATAAGTAAAAACGAAACGGAGTCTCATCAGAGATCCCTCATCTTTATTCAGTGTCTCGGGCTCGGGTTCAGCCTCAGGCCTCCCACCCTCTGAGGACAGTCGCCCTTGCAACGCGGTTAACTCCGAGCGTGAAGGCTCCCATCCGGAGGTCGCAGTTATGGGTTTTGCACATCTCCTTCACACCTTTGAAGCCTTTGGTCATGTATGTCTTGAGCTCATTGTTCACCTTCTCTTCATCCCACAAGAATCCTTGAATGTTCTGCAATTTATATATGCACCACCAAATTAGGTAGCATGGCATGAAAAGTTAAAACGTTGTGAAAATATGTATGTGGTGTATATGGTATATACCTGCACCCACTCAAAGTAACTAACAGTAACTCCTCCAGAGTTTGCATATATATCAGGAAGAATTACAACACCCTTCTTTGACAGGATCTGCAAAAAATTCATTTTTAATAATTAGACATTACTGGTGTTTTAGTTGTCCCCTCTTAAATCTAATTGTCATCCAATTAGCGAAGCACCGACCTCATCAGCCTCAGGGTCAGTGGGATGATTAGCCGCTTCGATTATAAACTTAGCCTTTATGTCATTTGCATTTTCCCTACATTCAAAAACAACAGTTGGAATTTCATTATGTTTCGTAAATCTTGATGTAGTTTTGGACTGCCTATTAGAATTAAGCAGTACGTACTTGTTGATGACACCTCCTAGGGCTGCTGGAATGAGAATGTCACAGTCTTCAACCAAGATTGAGCAGGGTTCTATTGGATCCCCACCATGGAAGCCCTTGACTCCCCTGTTGTCCTTGACATGCTTGACCAGGCTTGGAATGTCAATTCCTTCGCTGTTCTTTAGGGCTCCAGTGATGTCACTCACTGCAACTATTTTGCCACCACTCTCATGGATTAGCTGGGCAGCCCACGAGCCTACGTTCCCGAAACCCTGAGATCGATAGAATTCAACTTAGACAACAAGTTAAATCAATAGAAATCTAATCTAGGTTCAAGTCTCTGACTCTCAACCTCATAACCCTTTCGTGATCAGTATAAGTTCACCTGTATAACAAACCGTTGCCCAGAGATGCTCTTTCCATACTCATTGAGTAAAGCCTCAGTCGCAAAAAGTACTCCTCTTCCGGTTGCTGCGTCTCTTCCTAGTGATCCACCAAGATCCTGATTTGCAAGAATAAAAACTAATAAATTACGGAATTGTACGCAAAAAAAAAAAAAAAAAAAAGCATACAAAATTTAACTGAATGAAAGAGGGCAATTTACTGAAGCAACTTTCCATGATTTACTTACAATAGGTTTTCCAGTCACTACTGCAGGTGAGTAGCCATGAAACTTTGAGTACTCATCTAGTATCCATGCCATGGTCTGTTTAAACACCAAAAAACCGAAAATATCGAGAAGAGAAAATTGTTAAAATACAGTTCAAAGTTTATCTGACATTCAAGCTGATCAACTTGATAACCAAATTCTTTGTAATCAAATCTCTTGAACAAAATTAATGGAAAATGTGGCGTGCTCAACCTGTGGACCTGTCCCCATATCTGGTGCTGGAACATCGGTGTGAATTCCGATAAGATCGTGTATCTTTTGTGTGAAAACTCTGGTGAGTCGCTCTAGTTCGGAAAGACTCAACTCCCCTGGATTACATCCTATACCCCCTTTGGCACCCCCATATGGGATGTTGGCTACTGCCGTCTTCCATGTCATCAGCTGTGCTAAAGCATTCACCTCATCTGGATCAACCTACATTTTCCATAAAAGGATCCATAACAATTAAAGACAATTTCATGGCAGCGAGTCTTCATATATGACAACCTTTCACATTTGTCGTAGAAGTGGAACTTAACAAAGTATATGCATATACCTCCGGGTGATATCTGATTCCTCCCTTCATGGGGCCTCTAGCATTGTCATGTTGAACCCTGAAGCCAACAAATGAAGCCAAACTACCATCGTCTTTCGGTATAGTACACTCAACCTGCACCGAAGTATATAGTTCAAAAGCAACGAAAGGAGAAAACTCAATAACCACATTAGTTTTAGGGTCTGAAATCTACCAATAATTAAGAGTAAGGGATATACAGAAGGGAGATTATATGCAAAATTACCTTGATTTCCCTAAATGGTATAAGTAAACTTTTCTCAAGCTTGGAGTCCAATCCTAAAAGCCGAGCAGCCAACTTAAAGTTTCTGTTCGTTGCCACTAATGCATTCATCATGCTTCCTTCTTCAAGTGTCTGTCTCAGAAGTTAAAAGCAGCTACTTCAATTTGCTTCTCTAGCTAGCTGTTATTACGAACCTAGATATAAGATGGAGAAACATACATCAGTTTGCACTCTATAACAAATTTTCAAGGTAAATGACCATTAAGGATAACATTTCAGGAACTTCAACCCTAGCATGCATATGCATATTATATATTTTATCAGTCCAAAAAATAAAAGTTGTGCTAGTACTTGCTGACAATTCGCTCTTACGAGCATGGAACCGGTTCTCCGGACACACACTGCTTATTTGCTACTTAATCAACCTGAAGATTCTCACACTCATAGTACTTGATTATGATTAGCTGCATTAGTTATATACACAATTAGATTCGAATTAAACAGCAGCACTAAGCAGTTCAACTGTAGTATGTGCTCTATAATTAATAGATTAACACAAAAAGAATAAGCAACTCACAAACAAAGTTCTCACCCCACTACAATAGAAAAAGGGGAAAGCTCATATTATTAAGGAAAGTATTGATGTGAAATTAAAATGTAAATTTTCATTTTTATAGCTAATGTGACAAAATAACATTTCAAAAAGTTTCATATTCTAACCGAGATATTAAATTAATATGTTTTTTTTATTATTTACAAAATCAAGTGGGTTAGAATTTAATAATAAAATATCAATAAATTGAGAAGAATAAAAAAAATATGTGAGCCTATCATTAAAATAAAAAAAATAAAAAAAATAAAATTTGACGTTGCCTTTTAAGTTTGGTAGATAAGAGGATAATGTTAATCCATGTAAGATTTTGGCATCTCTTATGAAACCGAAAAATTACTTTTTTTTTTTTTTTCCGCCAAACAATCCACATACGATTTTTGACATCCTATTTGAAGATGCTCTTAAACACTAAAAGTATTATACATACGTGGACCCCTTCAACTGTGATGATAAATTAAAAGTTGACTCGATGATTTGAGAGTGATGCCACTTTCTTAAATTTCCAATTAGTGGAATATAATATGGATCTAGCTAACTAGTCTTGGAATTATGATCCGTAATTCAGAAGAGTATTTTTGGAAACGGCTGAAAATCAAAGAGAACAACCTAAACTCTTCCAACCACATATTTGGCTCTCTCAATAAATTGGGAGTTGGATATATAGGTGGCTTGTGGCGGAAAAGGTCCTCTTGTGTTACTGGGAATATATTTTTTTTTGTATTTCAGCTTCTCCTATTGCAACGCACTTGTTTGCGCATTATATTTGAGAAAACAAAACCATTGCAAGCAGTATATATACCGATCGTTTCATGTACATTTTCTTCTAGGGATGTTATCAAATTATATCAATCACATCACATTTTTAGATACATGATCAAGCATTTATCAATCTAACAAAATTCATTGTGTCAAAAAAAAATGATCAAGCATTTATCAATGCTCCTAATCAACATATTAGCTAGGATAAGATATTCGACTATCATTTATCAAGTAAATAATTAATGATATGTGCACATCACGACACATAGCACAACTACTATCTTTTCTTTTTCCAAAAAGCTTGATTCCATGCGCAGAAAAACTTATGAGATCACTTTTATCTCCAAATAAAAGAAAGAACAAAAATGGAAGATGAAATAAATGGTTCTCAGATTTGTGGAAACAGAAGGATCAACAAGCCATATAAACAGCAAGGCCATCCTTCAGCATTTAAAAATTTGCAGTTCTAGCAAATTTTATACCTAGATAAATCTTCGTAAATAAATACCAAGTACATTTTAATACATATGAATTAGCTTCTTAACACATGTCATTCTCTAACCTGTCATACTTTTGGGGAGTCAGTATCACTGTTTTCACCTTTTATTTTCCATTTCCATTTTCTTTATTCAAGAAAAGGTACGTGCATGTACCTTTTCATATACGTCAACTCTTTTTTGTTACTTCATGTATATGTACCATTACCATGAAAGAAAAAGGAACTATATTATTGCGCAAACCTTTTGCTGAAACGGAAATATAAACATGGACTCATGACCTGGATAGCTACGTGCATGCAAGTAATATTATCTTTAAGCAAATTAAGTACGAAATTGTTACTGATGATGAGAAATTCACTAGGGTTCCAAAACCAATACAGATCAATAACCAAATAATTGTGAGAATAGTGGACTTCAGAGAGACAAGGAACTATATATATATATATATATATATATATATTTATTTATTTATACTTACACTGGTTAATCAAGAGAGAGAGAGAAGAAGAGAGAAGAAGAGGGAGAGATCAACAGGAGGAACCCGAAATGCAGCGGCAGCTAATAAAACTGATCAATCGAGCTTAAATGGTGTAGTTGAAAGACTCTACTGATCAAGAGGGTCAAGTGGCTGATGGAAGTCGAATTTTAAGCGTGGATAAAAATATATATAGATGTCAGTGTTGAACATATGACTAAAACCGATAGAATTAGGACAAAAGTAGAATCCAATTCTCTAGCTATTGCTACAATGGAATCCCATATTCTTGAGAGTTGAGACTTGTGTGTGTGCGCATATATAATATATGTATGTGTGTGTGTGTATATATATATATGTATATATCATTCTGCAAAGTGTAAAGTGGTGACGACGATGATTAATTCCATCTAACAGGACAGGAATACGAATATATACGATGCTCCTGCCCCTGTAGGATTTTGTACCACTTAGATTCCTAACGCACGATCCACACTTGACACTGCCACCTTCCCTTTTCATTTCACACACATCATTCTTAAATATTCAGTTTTACAATAAAAAGATTAGAAACAATAATGTGTGTGTGTGTGTGTGAGAGAGAGAGAGAGAGAGAGAGAGAGAGAGAGAGAGAGAGAGAGAGAGAGAGAGAGATGAGAAGTGAAATTACAGGAGACAAAGGGCGCATGCATATGCATCTAGAGGTACTTGAATCCGACGCGAAACCCACATTGCACAGCCATTTAGTCGCATTCCATAAATGGTAGTATTTGTAGTGTTCGATACCGCCTATACCTTTTATTTGTGGGTGACTAGTGGAAACATTAGGCATGATGATGTAGTCTAGTAAAATGCCTCTTGATTATAGCATTACATATTAATAGGAGAATAATGATTGTGTTCTTCTATGGGGCACCTATTATAAATTGTCCCTCCACTTATAAATTATAACGTATCATCATGTATGAAATTATAATCGGAACCATTTATTCGATTGATCACCATCTAAAGATCATATGCGAAAAATCATTCGATTTAGGGATCTTTTAGTCATTCATATATATCAAACAAATAGGCAATTCTCCGTGAGAATGCTAGTCAATTGGTTTGACATGCATGAATGGCTAAACGATCTCTAAATTGAATATTTTTTGCATGTATGATCTTTAGGTAGTAATAAAGATAATGAAAAGTTCCAATTATTATTTTCGTACAATAAAACTATGTTAAATATAAATCAGGGGACAGATATGTTCCCACTTGGAGAGAACACAAAGTATTATCTTTAGTAGCAATATTATACATGTGTTATAACTTTTGTAGCAATTGATGGACACACAATTTACAACTAAGAGAGATTGAGAGATTGCTTTTCTTATATCTTTATAAATTATTCAGGCAGTGTCAGCTGAAAAGATACAAAACAAGGCAAGTTTAATCAATAAAGGAAAACCATGATTAACAAATCACGACAATTTAGTGATCAAAAGAATCTCCTTCAAGTGGTCGGTCTAACCAATTAATTTCTTCTGGTTAAATGGTGGATTTGATTAATATATTCACAGTAATAAATATTCGGACATACAAAACTCAGACGTACACTTATTGACACTATCAATTAATAGAGGTGGATTATATATATATAATCGTTAAAGTTCACATGGATTAAAGAGTGTATTAACAATGAAGAACTTTAATGGATGGGTGATACTAGAGGGATGCTTTTTAGATCGTATACATGATGATTTGTCAGTTGATAATTATATTTCTTCTTTAATCATAAAAAATGAAATTTGACATTAGCCGCCGCATCATGTAATTTACAAAATATAGTCTAAAAGATGGTCTCCTAACGTTTTTCTTTATTGATAGACCTCTCATGGTGATGTAATTTACACAATCTTGACTGATTTCGCATGATGGATTGGAGTTTCCGTCTTCATCCCATATCATCGTGCAATGGCCATCCGTATGTAGCCTAATCCTAACATCTCCCTTTTCCATATGTATATAACCCGCATGCATGCATGGAAGATACATCTTCCCAATATTTCCTTACATGATTTCTCTATGATTCATTGTTGTGGTGAAGAATGAAACAAAGCTCCCGATCGAACGGTAGTAACTGTCGTATACGAACATATAGCAATTGATGGATCACACTGGTCACGAACCATTGTCATATAGTATCGATTTATATTTTAAACATCAAGTTTTTGACATATAGAGAAGCCTAGATATTGGACTATTATGATGTTTCATACGTATTACATGATAATAGACAAACAAAATTGTAACTTAGTAACGCTACAATTATCATATTTTTCATACTATATTTATACAATTTCTTCTATAGAGGTAGAACTCATCAACACATGTGGATCACATCCCTATAAGAGAGGTAATACAAATACAATATGAAAAATGTTGTAAGGATATAATTTTTGCAACTGAATTACATGCACATGCAAATGGTGTCAAATGGACATGTCCTAAAATTAATAAGGAAAACAAGGGGAGGAACACATTTTTACACTTAATTCAACACATAATTAAGAACGTAATATAATCTTTAGAGTTTTACTTTTTTGCTACAAAATTAAATCTTTAGAGTTGATCAATCCTTGTATACTTGAAATTTTGGGACACACACGTATATGCAAAATTGTGAATGCACTGTTAATTCACCAACACAACAAATTTCGTAAATGATCATTGGCCAAAAGCTGATTTACTAGACATTTGAATATAATCATTGGCCTAGCAAGGTAGAGATATAGGTCACTAGGCTGAATATAGTCACTGGCCAAAAGCATATGACAACTATTTAGAAATGATTTTTGTTTTTTTTGTTTTTGTTTTGTTTACACACGTACAGAAGATAACCATTTTTTTTCCTCTTATTTATATCCCCTCTTGATTGTCACAGATTATTAGTATGAATATCATGTTCATTACACAATTTACAGAGAGCAAGTGTTTTTATTTTCTTTTTTTTAGTAGTATATTTTTGTTCTTAATTATATTATACATATAAAAAACTAAAGTGGTTTTTATAATGGGGTATAAAGAATGAGAAATGCTAAAAGGAACTCTCTCAAAAGTTAGATTCTTCACGAACTTTTTGTTACCTCACAGTTTAACGTCAATTTTTATACCAAATTATAAACATTGTGTCAAAACATGAGGTGACAGAAAATTTATGAAAACTTCCAATTTTGAGAGTGTCGTTAACATTTCTCCTAAAGCATTAGGATGGGGGGATGAAGTGCTTTTGTTTTTGCTTACGAAGAAGGCATGAAATTAAGTGAAGCCAATAGAAATAGAATGGAGGCCGAAGGTCAAAAGGTTGGAATCCACTACGTAATACACCAAAGTCTTACATCCCTTGTTGCCAACAAATTAAAGCGATAAAGAGATAAAAACAAGACATAAAAGAAGCATTCCCACTAAGCCCTATGAACCTACCTTGCTATCTCAAAGAAACTTGCTGCTAAAGTTAATTGATCAGTCTAGTTGTGCCTGTGCATTGATTCCTTCTTATAAATTTTTAGGGAAGGGGAACTCCCTCCTATAATTTATTTTTCTTGGTTAAACTTCAAAAATATTATTAAATAACAAGATTAAAACATATATATGCGCGCGCGCGCTCAATGTGAATAGCAATATATATATATATAGCAAAAGCAAATAGAGATTGATTCGGTGTTTAGTTCCCATGAGTCGGAAAATTTGAGAATTTGTTCCCCATTTCATTTTTCATTTACTGAGTTCAGATGCGGAACTAAAAATTTCTTCTAGTGGGATCAATCGAAAACAACTAAAAAAACCTTATTATAGTATGATTATACCCAATATGATATTAATGATAGTTTCAAATGATGATGTATCACAATTCCAATGTTATAAAAATTTCAATATAGTAGTAGAAAGTGGTAAAGTGATGAGAAAAATTATAAGTACATGATAGGCAAGAAATGGTTTTTTTTTGTTTGAATGACAGAACAAGAGCACTATTGCTCATATAATATTTGATATGGAGTATAAGTAGAATGAATGTATGTTGAATATTAGATATATATATTTTCTTCAAAGATAATCCGTGTATATTATATAATTGTAGTCTGCAACTAAACAAACGAATTAATTGAATGAGGGCATCTGTTCTCAATGAGCCTTTATTGGCTCCGTCCATGACTGAGTCAGAACCTATTTATATATAACCAAGTTGATCGAATAACCCCAACTCCTACACTTGCTGTCCAAAGAGTTTCTTTTTTTTATCTTTTACTTTTTGGATTTGCGAATGAAACCAAAAAAGTTTACAAGAAAATTACAAAATAACCTTAAAAGAATAATTGATGAGCTAGCCAGCCATAACAGCTAGAAATACGTATAGTTTAGAGAAGAGGAGAGAGAAAAGGGAGAGAGTTGGAATACACGATAACAATAATTTGGAAAATGATGGAGTTTTGAACTGGGGCGCAATTGGTTTCTAAGATCGCTTCCAGTTTTAGGCTTTTTACTTAAGACGTATGAGTAGAAACTCAACACCCTATTCACTAATAAATCGACGGCAAACATAAAATGGGCCCAAAATATTGGTGAGATAATGGAATCACTAGTAAGAAAGAATCTTTGATGGAAATCCAAATCAGAGTCTACCAAAAACTAGCACTTCCCCACTAAGGAGGCACAAGATATAGATTCCATCCATTTGGAGTAGCACTTAAGATTCTTTATATGCTCACGAAGTCCTGCTTTAATCATTCAAAGATTAAAGAACAAATGAGATTAATCATCTTTTTAACGTTTTATTGATCGTTAATTTATCCCATGAATCAAATAAGAATAATGCTAGGTATACCAATATTTTAGATTTAATTTGCAAAGCATGTGATGTGTCACCAATTGAAAATAAACAAGTTAATCGACATTTAAATAATAATCCAATCATCACTAATCAAGTCATATAGTTTACAAAATATAAGTTAAATAAATAATCTCCTTAGCATTACCAACCAAATCATGGATATTTGGATTCCTAGGTAGCTGCGTGTCATTGTAGAGGGCTTTTTGTTGAGAATGAGTCTCACATTGATGGGATGAGGGACCTTGCATGAGTAAGAGGTTGGGTTACTCTCTATATTGCCAATTAATTTTATAGTGGAATCTCAATTTTTTCCACTTCGTACGTAAGTACTGCTAACCCCTCAACCATATGGATGACGTGGTACGCCTAAGTATATTTGTGTAGTACTTTTAACATGCTATCCACTCAAACAAAACGCTTTTTCAAATGCAATAAAAGTTGTTGAAA